TGATTTAAATCCATATTATATATAATATTCTTTGGAATTGCATTTGCTGTAGATATAGGAATAGCAAGAATGGTAGTCATATAAGCAACAGGTCTATGTACTGCCATAGCAATACCACCTCGCTTTGCTTTTTCAATGAAGTCATGCATTGCCATTTCTGTAAATAGCTTGATCTTGACTTTGGTCATCTTAAGCATAGCATCCCAGGATAGAGAAGGTGCAGATACATAATGGCTGAAATCAAGGCCATAATGATGCATAGATGTCTTTCTAAATGTTGTCCAGACATCTGCTAGACTAAGTACGTCTATTTTGAGATAGAGATCATTATATTCTCCCAAGTTTTTGCACCCAAATTCCTTCCATACATTTTTGTATGATTATAATCCTCTTGTGAAATCTTTTCTCTAAGGACACTATAACTCATGAATCGTAGTAAGTTTGTTTTCTTAAATCAGTTATGCGAGTCTATGTATTCATGAGGAAAGATTCCTTTACGATATGCTAAGGAAATCTGTTCAGAAGAATAGGCTTGTTTCTTGAAATACTCAATCGTAATTGGGTGGTTATCATCCAAATTCTTTGTAAGAGAAGCATGCTATCTATATATTTGTATCACTAAAATGTTTCAGCAATAACAGTAATTCGAAGAGAATTACCTGAGCGTCTAACAGATTTACAAACCAAGTGAGAGTCATATTTCTGGAAGTTATGGAAGATAATTGGGATTAGTCTTCATTAGCTCAATCTGAAGTTTGAGATTGCAATTATTATGAGACGCACCTCAGAATTTACCTTTAATATGACAGTGATCCCAAACCTTTTTATCTCTAGCTTCTTCCCTAGCAAGTTCGGCTTGGGCTTTAGAGATTGCCAATTTTAATGATTTATAGTCTTTAGGATTCTTAACAGCTTTTAGCAATTCTATATAAGATCCTTTTCTGATTTGATATTTTTTTCCATTTCTCTCTAGGTGAAGCTATCTTATTATACGATTTAGGATCTTAAACAATTTTTGTAAACTTGTCAGTAATATTTACAATCTTTCTTTCTAACCTATTAAATCTGTATCTATACTAAACTTGTCTTCACAGATCCAGCACCTATCTGCTTCTTTAGTAGTCATCTGTAATAATATGCTCATGCTTAATAGCTAAGACTTATTTATTTCTACCAATTCTTGATCGATTCTTCGGACGAATTCTTCTGTAGCATTTTCTCCACAATATAAGAAGAAACCCTATATTTCTCCAGTATCAATCCAGTGGACTTTGTAGCTAAAACTATTAGCTTCTTCCTCTGCTATCTTTCACATATTTCCAAAATAATATTACACTTCTTCTTTAATGACTTAAAATCTACAAGGATAACACATAGGCATTGATCTGACGTCTGTAGTTTCTAAACTCTTCAAAGTCATTAATATCTTTTACAGGCATTGTAACTCTTTGTGAGGCTTCACCCAATCCAAAACACCATTGCTGATGATAGTCTAATGATTTTATAGTTGGAATTCTTTGAAAGCATCAGTTACATAAATATTTCTTTTCTTTATGAAATGTATTCTTATTTACTAATCCATTTGGATTCTTAATCCATACTTACCTTCTTCTGATTTGGTAATATCTGTAAGGGCCATAAGATGGATAATATATTGTCTTTATAGTTTTTACTATAAAGAATAGGTTTAGGAGTACATGTTTCTTCTTTCCACTTCCAGATATTTATGGAGATATCTGGATTCATCTTATCAATCTTTTGAAATTTTTGTGGACAAATTGGAGTAGACATTGGGATTTCATCGAGCTTGACCACATCTAAATATGATTTATATTTTATAGTTCAAAAGATTCGTTCAAGATGTATACCTTCTTATTGAGATAAAAATGAAATTGGTACTGGTAGATGTGTTCTAACTACCAAGGCGGCGGCTTCCTATGCAAAGTATTATACCCAAATAAAGTATCAAAAAAATAGGCTTAACTAGATCGTGGATTTACTAATGATTGAATTTACATAGATAAATTACATGACTCTTCAGAGTCTTGCATTTGGGAAGTAATAATCTGAAGACATTATAATTCACTGCCACCTTCTGTAGTGTCTGATGTAGATCCTCAGCTTTTTTTTCCTTACCCTCACAATTGTAAAGGTGTTGGAGACTTTAAATACAAAGAAAACTCGTTAATGATCCATTGAAAGGCTGAGACAAAAGAAGATGGTCACGTAATTGTTGTTAAGTTTACACATAGGTACAATGACCATGCACACAAATTATGACATGATATTAGAAAAGCACCAAAACTGTTATATGTATCAAGTAATCTATATAGACTTTACATGATAGTTATGAAATATGTTGATGGCCAGAGACTACGTGATTGCGTTAATTTGGAAAACTCTGAATATAAAAAAATCAAATGACTTTGAAGTAGCTATAAATAATCTACACGCGAAAGATATTGTTTTTGCAGACTTCCATGATTCTAACATCTTAGTTATTAAAGAAAAGTATAACAGAATGTTGGTAGATTTCGACTGGAGTGTAAGATAAGATAAAGTTAAAGAAGAAACATGATATATATTGGCTAAATTTGTCAAAACAGCAGTATTTGAATGATGAAGGTTTAATCTAAGGTGAATTTATTTGAAAATTACTTTTTTTGTTCACTTTTTTATTTCATAGCACTATATATTAAAATAATTGTATAATAACACCTGTCGAAATCAGCATGTATGCATATTAATAAAGTATTAAAAAAACAATTATGTATATTTAATACATCTTTTTATAGTATTTAATTTAGCTGAAATTTTTTAATATGCGATAATTTATCAGATGAAAAAATAGATGGAATTATATGCTCATGACTAAATATATAGCAAATCTAATAAGGCTAGATCTCTTTGAATGTGATTATACAAAATTGTATATGTGTGATTTTGGAATGTTACTAGAAGATTTCAGTAAATCTACCATGTGTATTATTGGGTTTTGGGATACCATCTATTAATCCTAGAACTTTTAAAAATTCATAATCTCCATCTACGACAAATCGATTAGTAAGTTTCATTCCATAGCTAATGTAATACTCAAAATTTACTTATCCTTAATTTAGCATTCCAAAGCCTCTTCAATTTGTTTTTATTATCATCAAAATAATCATGTGAAATTGATCACCTGAAATACACAGAAAAGATATCAGAAATAGGGGTTGTGTGACATGTAAATCACATATGTATTCACATCATTTTTTTTATTCAGATATAGATCTTTTTTTTGGAAATCATTATTTCACATGATGGCGATTTAGGAATGTATATGCTAATCTTTTAACCATTTTTATTGATTTTCAATGAGATTAACGAATGACAAAATGAAATGCAGTGTGTAATTATTAGTGAAAATCTGGATATTGTTTTCTCCTGCAAAATTTACAAGTAATATAAAAATAGGCCTTTTTCATTTGCTTTCTTATTCTGATATATTATTTTTTTTCAAATAAATATGAAAAAAAGGTGTCTTTCTAAATGTCGAGATCTTCAATACATACCCCTTATACCCTTATTCTCTAATACAAATTTTGGCATAAAAATCATTACATATTTTTCTGCTTCAACTTCTAACATGAATACAAGTTCAGAAAGATATAAATGGAGTCATTTAAAAGGGCAGTATATTTTAATGATGAGTATTTTTTATGTCTTATAACTTCTTTTATTTTTATCATGCCTGCTGATTTATATACTTAAATTTACAATTTCTTGTTACATGCTGAGGAAGAAAACATTAACACTGTGTCTGTATCTATCAAGGAATTGAAGATAATTTTTGAATATCTCAAAATGAGCTAAAAGTATTATTGTGTGAGCTGTGGCATTTGTGTAGAATCAATATGATCAAGACTTCTCACATCATACTACACTTCTCGAAATTTTATCAGAGATTAGATATTTTTTAAAAAGAAAGTAAAAAGAAAATTTATTTGAGTAATGCAAACTGATACTGTTCTGAGGAAAAGAGCATGATAGACTAAATATCATATTAGCTCACTCATAGGATTTTTCCTCAGCAATGTAAAGGGTAGTTAGGCTATAATATATAGGAGCGTTTCCAGTAAAATCACATTACAGACCATATGATTTACTATGACTCATTACTTGATTTTACTGGAAATGTTCCCATATGCTTAATTCAATATGTTTATTTTAGTATTGCATAAAATCTTTATTTGAGTGTTAGAGTAGCTAAATAATGAGAAGGATTTCAAAGAGTTTGTCAAACAGTTTGTGACTCTTAATGAAAATCTATATTGAATGATGAAAACTTTGAATTTCACAGTTCAACATGTCAAATCGATAGAAGATTTTTAAACATTAAAGTAGTTACTCCTTTAGATGCAATAATTAAAAACAATGATCCAGAAACTATGGAATATGAAGAAGTCGAACTATCAATTGAAACATCATCCTCCATCATCATCACACAAAGAAAAAGCATTGAAGGTCTCAAAAATGTCAACCAAATGCATCAAAACAGGTTGAGATCATTTACCGTTAAGGTTGCTTGTCTAAACTCATTTTGGATTTGGCAAAATGGTAAAACCTTTAGTTTTGCTAAATTTTTACTAAG